CGTAGATGTTGCTGTAAACATTTCCTTACACCTGAAGAAAAGAAAAAAAAAAAATCAAGTGACAGCAAACTTTGTGGTTTTGCTGGCTCATGTTGCAGTTGGGCAAAGCTGACGTTTATACTGACAAAGGCACAAATGAGAGGTTGGGCCCAGAGGGATAGCAATAAATTGTATTTTTGTAAATTGTCACTTTATAACAATATGTTTATATTTATGAACGGAAACAGATGTTTATTCCTCAGTGAGTATATAGCAGTGTCCCTACTGTTTGTCTCTTTCCAAAGGAAAATGAATATGTATGTGGTTGGTGGTTTGTTTGGTTTTTTTTGTTTTTTTTTTCCCCCTCTAGTAGTTGAATGCTAGAGCTGGGCGCAGTTAGAGCCCATCTTCAAAAGAGAGAGGGAGAGTGTATGCCCTTAATGCAGATGTTTTGGGATAACACATGGGACCTTCCTTAAAGGAAGGAAACATGATGGTATCTTGTGCCTGATTTGCACAGTAATGTTATGAATGTTATGTTATGGCTTGGGGGCAGAACAAAGCTGTAGGAAAGGTGATTTGCTAACCTGTGTCTACTGTCACGTCACAGAGTTGTTCTGCTGCGGCTCTTTTGTAGCAAGAGTCTCAGCATCCAGGCTGGACGCCAGCCTCTGGGCATGGAGGTGCCGTGGATGGGCGCGTGGGCTAGGTCTAGAGCCACCCAAGTGTGCCTCAGCGCTGGGCTCAACGGTGTTCGCCGGGGGCTTCAGGTAGTCTCATGTCTCAGTGCTGAAAGAGAAGGGGCCAGCTCCACCTGCACAGACCCTGCATGTATGCTCCTCCCATTGGCGGCGTCACTGCCACAGGGCGAGCTGGCTGTGCAGGCTGACCTCCTGTGGCAGCGCTCACGTTGCCCTTCATCTGGATCAGGAGCCAAGGGGAGGGCGGGTCAACACTGAAACACTTCACTTGAAGCCAGATGCACCCACAAAGGGAGGCCAGCATCATGATAGGAAATGGCTAAGCCAGGGAGCCTTCCCCAAGCCGGTTCTGCATGAGTGGCTGCTGCCCAGCCAAGCGGCCAGGCTGCACCCGTCAGTGACACTTTAAACCCAGTCCAGGAGAATGTGAGCCTGCCTGTTAGTCTCCAAGCCCGCCAGGGTGTGTGACACCACCTCCCCACCCCTGAACCTCACCCCTGCCTGTCAGCTACGCACACAGGACAGGCCATGTGCCTGAGAGGCAGGCTGCGCAGCATGCGCACACACACACACATACACACACACACACACACGGATCTCTCTCTTGCGCTCTCTCTCTCTCTCTCTATATACACACACACACAAAATGCCCATCAAAAATGACGGAGGAAGGGGGTGGGGGGG